GCGCCGAGCAGGAGTGGGCATACTTATTGCCCCTCATCTCGGTGCCTGTACATTGGGCTTCATCCCGATGAACGAGAAGGTAACCTCCCTCCGCCTACGGGTGGGGGAAAGGGTCCTGACTGTTGTTTGTGCCTATGCGCCTAACAGCAGTTCAGATTACCCACCCTTTCTGGAGTCCTTGGAGGGGGTGCTGGAGAGCGCTCCAAACAGGGACTCCCTCATTCTGCTGGGGGACTTCAACGCMCACGTGGGCAATGACAGTGAGACCTGGAGGGGATTGGTTGGGAGGAACGGCCTCCCGATCTGAACCCGAGTAGTATTTTGTTATTGGACTGCTGTGCTCATCATAGACTGTCCATAACTAACACCATGTTCAAGCATAAGGGCGTCTATATGTGTTACCTGAGCTGTGGCCGTGGGGTTGTCGGTGCCTGATGTGGCAGAAACCCTCGAACCCACTTGTGGACACTGGCGGTGAGGGATGCTGTCAGGCTGAAGAACGAGTTCTATTGGGTTTTTTTTACCTGTGGGACTCCGGAAGCAGACGATAGGTATCGGCAGTCCAAGCGGATTGRGGCTCGAGTGGTCGKTGAGGCAAAAACTTGGGRGTGGGAGGAGTTCGGAGAGGCCACGGAGAAAGATTTCTGCATGGCTTRGAGGCGATTCTGGTCCGCCATCCAGTGTCTCAAGGGGGAAAAGTGGTTCGCCACCAACACTGTTTATGGTGGGGATGGTGCGCTGTTGACCTCAACTTGGGACATTGTAGGTTGATGGGCAGAATACTTCGAAGACCTCCTCAATCCCACTGACACGTCTTCCCATGAGGAAGCAGAGCCTGAAAACCCTGGGTCGGACTCTCCAAACTCTGGTGCTGAGGTCACCGAAGTGGTTAAACAGCTCCTCTGTGGCAAGGCGCCAGGGTTGGATGAGATTCGCCTGGAGTTCCTTAAGGCTCTGGATGTTGTGGGGTTGTGTTGGTTGATGCGACTCTACAATATCGCATGGACATCAGGGTCAGTTCGCCTGGATTGGCAGACCAGGGTGGTGGTCCCCTTATTTAAAAAGGGGGAACGTAGAGTTTGTTCCAACTATAGGGGGATCACACTTCTAATCCTCCCTGGTAAGGTCTATTCAGGGGTCCTGGAGAGGAGGGTCTGTCAGATA